AGAGAGGGAGGGAGAGAGAGGAGAGAGAGGGTGGAGAGAGAGAGAGGGGGGAGAGACAGAGAGAGGGAGAGAGAGAGAGGGAGGGAGAGAGAGAGGGAGAGAGAGACAGAGAGAGGGGAGAGACAGTAAAATGTGTGTTTTTGTTTTTCCATGTGTGTGTGTTTGCCTGACAGACACACACAGGGACGACAGATCACACTGAGAGCAGAGGAGGGAAAAAAGGAGGCGTACAAAGATAAATAGAGGAAGCCTTTGAGCAGGGAGAATGTATGAAAGAGTCTCAAAGTGGCAGCAATGGGTGAGGCAGAGGGGGGAGGAAGAGTGACAGTGATGGATGGAGGGACGTGTGGCGGGTGAGAGGATGGAGGGGAGGCAGGCGGAGATTGACAGCCTCCTTTTCCAGAGGACAGATGAATAAACCGGCGGATGGAGGGAGAGAAAAGGGGTGAGGGATGGGTGAGGGGAGGTAATGAGAGATAGAGTGCGTCTCCGTAATCAAGCCGTAAAGAGAGAGCGGGAGAAAAGACGAGAGGCTCTGAATGAGTCAATCATGATTAATCAAGACGCTTCTCGCTCTCCGTCGCTGTCTCTCTCTTCCTGCTCATCACCACCATCATCACACACACACACACACACACACACACACACACACACACACACACACACACACGCACACACACAAATGAATTCATGTATTTCCAGGCAGTTTTATAGCAGTGGTTTCCAAACTTGTGATCATTTTAAATTAAGTTCAATCAGCCGCCTCACATGGAATACATTAAAATATAACTGCTATTTCCATTATATATGATATACTGTAAGAGACCCAGTCTTTATATTAAAAAAAGGCCGTTATCATCGTCATGGGACTTGAGGGCAACGGTTTTAAAAGCCCCAAGTTTGCTGTATTGGCCGTCGCCATCTTGTTTTTCTTTTGGGAGACAGAAGTGAAGCGCAACTATAACTTAATGCTAAAAGGTGATTTATAAGCTCAAATTAACTTTCATTAACTGAAGACACATTGTGAAAAGTTGTAAGACTGACAACACCGTGATACCTGACAATCAGGTAGCCCTGCTGTAAACTATACGCTTCTTTAGAGCACAATTTACAAAAATGAACATCATGCTGAAGTTGAGAAGAATTGAAACTAGGGATTAAGACCATAAACTTGTCAGAATTGTTTTTACTGATGTGATAATTAGCTTTGAAAGGGTCAAAGTATTAAGAGGAAAACACTGACGACACCGTGGTAGCGACCTGTCAATAACAAGGTCGCCCTGCTCTAAAACATAATCTGCTTTATTGTCTCTTTAACCCTTAAATGTACCATCATTTACTTAAAGGGGACCTATCATGCAAAATGCACTTTTGTACGTCTTTTATACATGAATATGTGTCCCCGGTGTTCCAGGGAACTCACCAAGTGTCAGAAAACACAACCCTCTCTATTTTCCTCCATACCCAAATCTCTAAAAAAGGGGCTGCAACGGATCTGATAAAAACTGATCCAGATTTGAATTATTTTCTACGTCACAAAAGTGGTGCTCCGCTTAGTGGTCAACTCTCCACCTATCAGGGGAATGTGGGGTTGGGCCACGGCCGGCCATTGCCGCTCGAAAGCGCTGGAGAAGCTGTACATATGCCAGGCCTGTAAGTGGCGCTGTAGTCTGCCACAAAAGCAGCAAAGGAGACTTCCCGTGCATGGTTACCATGGTTGCCCTTCTGTTTATTCTCCGCTGTGGCTCTTTTTCTCCCTCCCCGAGGCAAGCGTTTGCTCCCGCTGCTTTAATTCAATGCAATCCCTCCCCGTCGAGGCAAGCACTGTAATTCTCTCCGGTTAGTCCACCAGCAGCTGACAAACACCCACCTCTCCGCCTCTTCCAAGGAACGAGGGGACCGTGCGGCAGAGTTTCAGTTTCAGTTTCTTTCGCCGGTCAAGATGTCCGTTAAAGTTTAAATCTTCCGGACAAAATTAGAAAAGTGCCGGTCAAAGGTCTTCTTTGTTATTTATTGAGCTTTAAAATAAATGAATAATGACTCAGCAGCTGATCTCAAAGCACGCTCCCCTCTCCTGCAGGGGGGCGTGGTCAGCTGCAGCTCATTTGCATTAAAGCTACGTCACAGAATCAGCCCCCTGCAAAAACAGGGCTGGAAAGAGCAAATAGAGCGAGATGAGGCATGGCTAAAATGCAGGATCTGTTTGGTATTTTGAAAAAAACAACTATATTTATATACTTTATATAGGTATGGCCCTACAATATATTGTTCAAATATAGCATGATAGGTCCACTTTAATTAACATCACACTGTATTGAAAAAAGACTTAGTTAAGACCATAAACTCGTCAGGAAAATGTTAACTGAGTTAATAATTTGCCTTGAAAGGGTCAAAGTTTTCAGAGGAAACACGGAGGGCATCCAAACTGCAACACTGTGGGAGCGGCCTGTCAATCACAACGCAGCAACGCCCCATTTAAACATGAACGGCACTAAAATTCACAAAATGAACATCATGCTGTAGTGAAAAAGACCTACACCTAGAGATTAAGACCATAGACTCAATAGGAACATGTTTACTAAGGTGAGAAAACAGGGACATTTCTCATATAGTTCTAATCAATCTGACTCCTTGTTGCTACCTGCTGGTTATTAGATGACTTTACTGTAGCTCTGATGGATGCCATGGTCAACGTGGTTCCTCCGTGAAGTTTTGACACAACGTCACAGAATAGCCTTCAGGTGAGTGGAGTGAGGTGCATGATGGATAAAGTACGGCTTGAGTGCACTGCCATTATCTCATGTGGATATGCAACTAACTCAAAGTGTCTTAATGAATGCATATAAAGAGGAAGGTCACACAGAGAGACATCAGAGTGCCCTCTCTTTATATCCGGATACATATAATGGCACCTATTGATAAGAGCACAGTTGCAACCCTACAAGTTAAAGTTCCATTAATGCTTATATCTGACAGACATTTGGTCTGTAGTGTAGATGGGGACATTGTTTGCAACTTTAAAGGGATTTTCCTTCTTGAATTGTTTCATTTCCCTTCCTTTTTAGAAGCCTAAAGTGTTTAAAGTATTCCTATAATCTAACCCTGTCAGATTTATCTTTGGTCTGGTGGAAAGGGAAAACGCAAACGCATAATAGGGTCCCTTTAAATGGTGTATTGAGGAATATTTCAGATGCAGATTAATACACATTTAGTCCTCTAATGAGTGTATAACTTAACATAGACTACAGTGGCCTTGTTTGTTGGAATGAATAAAAAGTTTTTGGACAACAGTGAATATCAGATATTCATTACAAGTAGGATCAATTAATTGTCAGATTTGGTATTTTCATGGGATTTGTTGACAATAAGACACTTCCTCGTGTTATCCTCTAAGGTGCCACTAATTAAACAACTCCAGTACTTTATCTCTGCCACAGGCTTTAATGTGCTCTACAGAAAGAGACGTGATGAGAGGAAACCTCCCCTCTGCGTCGCTGCGTGCGAGGAGCGTGCGAAAAGACAGCAAAAAGGGAAAATAGGGCACTTTCATATTTATTCAAGTGTCAGATCCAGAGCTGTCTGCGGGGACAGAGAAAGAGAGAATGAAGAGAGGAAGAGAGGAACGAGGGCTGCAACCACAGGAACTCTGAGGATTCACAAGCTTTTCTTTCTCTCAACACACACACACACACACACACACACACACACACACACACACACACACACACACACACACACACACACACACACACACACACACACATCAATCAAAATGAGCTGTGGATTCAGCACAACATGTTTCAGGAGCATCTAAATGAGGATTACGCGCAGGAGTCCAACAAGCCGTGATCCTACCGTCTCCGAGATGTCACATCAATTTCTGGGTACACGCGGCGCTGAATAGATAAACCTTCATCAAGGAGAAAGAACAGGAAGCTCCCTCTCCAACGTGACACACAAACAGTGAAGCACATGTGAGAGAATACCTCAGAGCAATTACCTGCTGGAGTCAGGGAACAGAGGAGCGTAAATCAACACTTCCTCCTGCTGGAGCTGAGGGGAACTGCAGGACGCCTGAGGCAGGGAGAGAACTAAGGATGATGGATGATGGGTCTGAAACATGAAATGGACCGGCAATTCACAACGCCATGCAAGCGTGTGTTATCATGCTATTTTTAGGCATATATTATGGGTCTCAGATGCATACACATATATAAAAAACATGTCTATGAGGTGTTTTGCTCAAAATGCCAAACAGATCATGCATTTTAGACATCCCTCATATCCCTCTATTTCAGCCCTGTGAGAGAAACGCTGATTCTCTGCTGGCCCCGCCCCCTTTTGAGCAGCACACTGTGACAGACTGTCTGCTCTGCTCAGATACAGCTAAATGCTCCCGTGATTAAACGCCATCATGTTCCAAACCACTTCAAGGATTATTTCTGAAACAGTATGGAGCTCAAATGCTTATTTTCTTGTGAGTATACTACAAGGTGAGTCTTTTTGTACACATAGTCTCTCCAGTACAGGTTAGCTCTGAGTGTTAGCGATGCTTGCTAATGTAAACAAAGTCCATATTACGTCCAAACACGTCGCACATTGTTTCTGATAGCAACTTTCTGATAGTGCCGTGGGTCAGCATTCCCGATATTACGTCATATCGGACGCAAATCTGGATCAGCTCCGTTGTACCCCCGTTTTTAAAGATTTGGGTACGGAGGAAAAGAGAGGGTTTTATTTTCTGACACTTTGAGAGTTCCCTGACACACCGGGGGGGACTCATATCTGTATAAAAGACGTAAACAAGTGCATTTTGCATGATAGGAGACCTTTAAGACACAAAGAGGTAGGTTTGCCCATCTTAAATCGAGGTTTTCAGCATGAACAGTCATCCAAATGAGTTCATTTCATGACCTAAAACAAGTGTACAAATACATGAATCATTCATAGTAAAGGCTTAAAGTAAAGAGTCAGAGAAAAGCAGTTGTTTTATGATTTGATTGACTTTATTTGTAAGGCACCAGAAGTCCTTCCTTACTGCAGAACATTTCATATTATTTATAGTAAATGTTTGTTGTACTTTTTATAGTTTCTTTTTTTTTTTTCAATGAAGCTATGATTTCAGACACAAAACATTTTTTTTTTTTGCCAAAGTACACACTTTCAGGTTTTACATTATGCACAAAATAAGTATTTAAAAAAAGACCTTTACAAAGCTCAAAACGCTTACAATGCTTCACGCTATGGGGCAAAAAGTTGGGGGGGGGGCGGGGAGTTAATGGGGTCAGGGTCCAATGAAGAGGGAAAGGGTCAAAGGTTGAACGTACTGCAGTTTCCCCCCTGGTGTCACATCAGTTTATAGCACAAGAATCATCCAGACAGACAGGAAAAGATGCGGCTATATACACATAAAGCTTTCTATGTAGAACTGTATAGGGAGACGAGCGCCTCCAACTACTTTAACAAATACATAGAATTTCATTTGTATGTTTATAACGTCAGCTTTGTAAGTCTCGTTCTAGTTCATATCGATTAATATTTAACAAAGAGAAAAAAACAAGTGCATTGATCACAGGAAATTTGGACCAAACATTCATTTAAAAAAAAAAAATGTCTCCACTAGAAATCAATCGTTGTTGGCTCCCCCGCTGACATGCATTGAGTGAGTGTGTGTGTGTGTGTTGCTTTGTCTACATGTATATGAGAGGGGAGGTGCTGCAAGAAGAATAGCCGGTTAGCTTTAGTTTGAGTAGGACAGCAACCATGTGTGTATCAACCATGCACAACTGTTTATACACACACACACACACACCACAACACAGAAGTCACCGACAGCATCTGATCTGAACTTGTAGACACATGAAGGGTTTTATTCTGAATGCAGTAACGTGCAATGTGTATACTATCGCTTCATGTGCTTTGTCATCATCATGCCTAAGATGTTTTTTCAAAATAAAAGCTTTTAACACACTCCACATGAAGTCATTCTCACAGTGTAGCCATAACATCAGAGGACGCTGAGAAAGTGTGTGTGTCGGTCCAGGTGTGTATAACGACTTTGAACACAGGTTGTCTTCAAATGAACACTTAAAAACAAACATGCCTAATAATATCTGTGGATCGACAGTCTGATCACCACCGAGGCTAATCTGTAATTGAATATGTTTGCAAAAGAATCCAAAAGAAGGGTTAAATGTCATCTAATGTTGTGTAAGAAGACTTGAATGGGGCCATTTTGGCTGCTACTAACTAGACCCTTTTAACCCCCTACACACACACAGCTCGCCACACAGATGTTGATTGGATCGTTACTTAGATTGGACTGAGTTTTATGGCCACTTTATCTCAAATAATAGTTCACTGGAGCCCTAATCTGCATTTTATATTGACAGTGGACATTTGTCTGGGATGGTGAAAGCATTTCATGATGTTGCAGTGTAAACTAGAATAACCCAAACGCAACAAAAACAGTACTGTGTTGTCAATTCAGTGTTTTTCCTTCCCTTCACACGGAGTATTTGATCAGACAAATAGTCCGTGTGAAGGTTTCTTCTGGAGTTTCTTTGTGTGTATGCGAGTTTGAGACGTGAACATGAGGATTATATTGTATGAGTGTTAACTACGACCCTGAACGTGGGATTCTTTTGTGGCAATTCTTCGTCATAGAGAGAGACAGAGGTTTGACATGCAGTGTGGGATGTGGTGGTTTTATGTCATGTGCCAAATATGTGAATTGCTTCGGGCGCTATGAAGATACCAAGATCTTGAACACAGATTCGTTCACAGACATCACATTATTCCCAGGACAGTCCCGGCCAACTTCCACCTGACGAGAGGCCTAATCAGACAAGATAATTGAAAACAGATCCTGTGGGGCTGATGGGAGTTTTTAACTCAGCGGAGCAGCTGTGGAGGACGCTTGTGCTTCATGTGTGAGTTCTGCACTGAGGAAGAGTTGTGGAGATGTCCCACTCTGTATGGAGGTTTTCTGTAGTGTTGATGTGTGTGTATGTACAGTGAATCAAAAATGAACAGTATTTAAATCTGAATGTACAGAGAGATCTCAAGCACGAGGCCAGTTGTGTTTGTTTCACGCTGAGAGACAAAGCAAAGACCTTTCAGATCATGACACACTGGGCCTGACCGCATGCAGAGATTAATGTCACCAGTCTTGCCCTGTATATTAAGTTAGTCCACACAGGAGGGATAAATAAGCCGTTGTCCCTGGTGACACGGCCTGCACTCTGTCATTGTCCTGTCCTCCTTTTTGCTCTGAGAGGAGGAAGACACACACTGCCCTCTGCTGTCAAACACACAACATGCACACACACTCCCCCCTCTGTGCTAATATTAGTGCACATTAAAGATGCAAAAGGTGGTGGGAGTCAGGCGGCATCTCCGTTCATTCAACCACCGGAGAAAGGGTTTCAGCGGAGGTGCTGGGAGGATATATCTAACGCACCTCACAGGGTCAGATGAGGATCAACAATAACAAGGGGGGGGTTTATTTACTTAAGTGGGTTTGTTATGTACTCCGAGTCGCTCAGTAGGACGTTTATTTGAAGAAGGTGCTTTTCCTTTCTCTAGTTTCAGTACGGTAGATGTCTTCTGAATACATCATTCCACTTAAAAGCATCAGTTTTTGGTGTGTGTGTGTGTGTGTGTATGGGACGTTTCCATCTTTAAGCGGGACATGTTGGAATTTTTAAACACTTCTGATCTGTAACAATCCACTGTTTGAAGTGTAATGAATGCATGCATACTGTACTGCAACACACATCACCACTACAGATCTGTCAGACCCATTTCTTAGGATAAACATCAGTTTGGAGGAATCCTGTGTGATAGAAGTCGTACAGCTCGCCAAAGACTCCTACTGTTTTAACACCTAGTGTGAGTTGAGTTCAGTATAACAAGGACCCACTTAGAACAGAGGCAAGAGGTGTGTGAGAGTGGGAGGAAGAGAGGCAAAAATAAACAGGAGACAGGATGATAGAGAGCAGTCTTGATTTAAAAAAGTAAAACACAAAATTACTGAAACTTAATCACATAGAAAAAAAGGACAGTATTTGAAGAAACAGGAGACGCTGTGATGGCGGTAAAGAAACAATTGGAGTAAATATGAAGCGATCAGGGCTAGTCTGATTTAAGGGGCAGGTGCCGAAGCCCTCCCGTTAAAAGGAGAAGTTTAGGGGTCTGTAGCGGTGGAGGTGGGACTGAAGCCTGTTAGCTAAGGTCAGAGAGAGAGAGAGAGAGAGAGAGAGACCAGGGGAGAGGCTGGAGGCCAAAGGGGGCTCAGATCTGGGTGTTCAGGTCTCTGGACAAAAACAGAGCTGAATGGGGGACACCTCTCTAATCGGACTTGTCTCCGTCCTCCTCGCGGTGGCTGTCCACTCCCTCGCGGGACGCTTTCTCCTCCTTGGCCATCTGGGCTTGGGAGGCCAGCAGGGAGGAGAGGGAGAAGAGGCCGGAGGAGGTGGTGACGGCGGGGAGGCTCGGCTGGCTCAGGCCCAGCGGCAGGGGGGTCATGGGCAGGGCGAGACCCTGGAGCTGAGACAGCTGGTGAGCCTGGAGCTGCTGCTACATGGAACACAAACACACACAACTTAGGCACAGCAGCACACACACACATCACTGCGAAACATTGAGGAGAGAAATCTGCAATGCACAGACCTATTATACATCGCAAATGATGTTTAATATATAACCCCCGAGGCACGCTGCTAATAGCTCAGGCACAATAGGATGGATGGATGGATGGAGGGAACATATCATAGCTACAATACATGCTGGGTAGGAGATGGAAAGTCTGCAGCACACATAACTTATTTATAACAGACGCAATTTCTCAATCTATATCGCCCCGAGAAAACAAGCAAGAGAGGAGAACACTGTGCACACAACAGAGGTCTGTGTACACGCCTGATTTTAACGTATAGAAAGAGACACATTGTACACACATTTGACGTCAGGACATGTGGACAATCCTGACTGACCGCTCCTACAACAGCTCTGCTTTACATTCAGCTGACAATGTCCTAGTCGGATATTAATGGCCATGAAGAAAGGCATACAAAAATGAAAATGGTTCCCTGTGCTAAGAAGAGCAAGTGTAGCCTTAAAAGCAGGCCTGTATCCTCTGTATTTAAAAGCAGGAGACACAAAGACAAGGCGCCTCTTTGAATCATGAATCACCGTGATGGAGTGGCTATGCTAGCTAACACCAGACGCATAGTAAAAATGATGGAGTGGCTCGGATAGCTAATACTAAAGCTCGGGTAAAATGATGGAGTAGCTAAGCTAGCATCTACAAGGCTTGTATTGATAAAGTGTAGCCGGCTAACGTTAGAGCCACAGAGATGAAGGATGACAGCGAGCAGCTAATGCCTCCAACATCATTCTGGTTTTTAGCTACGAGGGATGTACCCGCTCAAAGCTTCATTAATAACAACTTTTTGTTTTATTGCACGACTATTCATTGTGTTTAAAGATGGTACTTCTGAACAGTTATGGATAGATTAGGCCTAACTAATATTATAAGTGTTACATTATTTATTTGTAGAATTCTAGCAGTGGATGCAACACAACATGTTTTAATCTAATAATATATACTGTTACAATCCATATTGTTTAGGAAAAAGCAAATTGCACACACCTGTATTAATACGGTGGACCAGCGGCAATATTAAACACACAAAAAACAATATTTAGACAACCAAATATGTATTTATGTTGATGACACTGAAGAGTTTTATTCATTAAAAGACATTTTATCTTAACAAAATATTAGCTCATTCAAAAAATCTTAGGTGTTTTTTAACTTAATTAGGACAGACATTTAAAGCATAAGAAATCTCAGTTAATGCTTTTAAATATTTATTTTTGTATAATGGTACAGCCGTAAAAGCTAGCTTACATAACTATATGATACAAATGTGCCCATGCAGTGAAGGGTAGAGGGTATCATCCCATTTACATCCCACTCAATTCATGATAAAAACTCAAATTAAGGGAAAATCAGACTATTTCAAATTATAGACATTAAATTATTCACAAACTATAAGCCAATAAAGGAGAGGCATTAAATTAAACAGTAGAATTGGTGATAATGATCAATACATGTGACTTCATAAGACCATGAAGCGGGGCAGGGGGGGGAGGAGGAAGAACATCATACCCTTATGATGGAGTTCATCTCTGGGGGGGTGACCTGCTTGGCCCTCTCTATGGCTGCCAGGACCTGCTGCTGGTGCTGGAGAGAGAGAGGGAGAGAGAGAGAGAGAGAGAGAGAGAGGGAGAGAGAGAGAGGGGTGGGGGGGAGAAGGAAAGTGAGAGAGACAATAAAAGCGAGACAGAAACAAGGAAAGGAGAGTTTGGGAAGGAGGGGGGGGGGGAAGGTTGAGAGGTTAGATCAATATCAATAGTCCCAACAGAGACCCGACAACCCTCTCTGACACACACACACACACACACACCACACAACACACACACACCACACACACACACACACACACACACACACACACCCACCACACACACACACACACACACACACACACACACACCACACACACACCACACACACAACACACACATCTACACAACACACACACACACACACACACAGACACACACACACACACACACACACACCCACACACACACACACACACACACACACACACACACACACACACACACACACACACACACACACACACACACACACACACACACACACACACACACACACACACACACACACACACACACACACACACACACACACACACACACACACACAACACACACACACACACTGCTGTAATGGGTGGAGGTCAACGCCCTGGTGGGCAGATAAGAGCCAGGCTTATCTGAATCACACAACCATTTATTACGCTGACACACAAACATGTATAAAAGGAAAAGAGTGGGAGTGGGAGGAAGAAGGAGGGAGGAGGGAATTCTGGGAGGACAGATTGAATATGGCAGAGGAGAGTGGGGGGAGGGAAGTGAAAGTGATTTGCAGAAGGGGAAGCGAGTGATGATGAATGACGAGAGGAGAGGAGTGAGGGGTCGTGGAGGTTGGGAGGTAATGAGGCGGGAATGAGGCTGATCTCATTCCAGGATGTAAGGAATAGTGCGGGGGGTCAGGGGGTGAGAGACGTCTCTTACCTCCGGAGACAGGTAGGGGAGGACTTGTGCGCAGATCCCGTTCAATCTCTTCACTATCTCAGCCTGAGGAGAAAGAGAGAGAGATATTTCAGTTAAAAGGATCATCAAGAAATCTCAAAAAACCAAACCACATTTCTGATCCGTCTGTACTCAGGACTTCTTTCGATTGACTGCATTACACTGAACAGCATCAACAGTAATCTGGTCCTTTGCATTCATCTGCTTTGCAATGTGGTGTACCCTAACCCTACTAGCACACCACATTGTTATGTTTACATTCGTGCATATTTATTGTTGTTATAACTGTGTAGAAATGTGTTAGTAGGTCAGTCTATTATAGTGTTTTTTAACGTATTATGTTTATATTGTGTACTCTGTAGATACTCAAGATTGTATGTATGTATTTTGAAATGCTGCTGCAACAAAAACATCCCAATTTGGGATCAGTAGAGTATATTTAGTCTAATGTTTTTGTCTATATAAATATTTATTTCATTTTAAAAAGAGGCAACTGTTAAGAAACTCAATTTTCCCAGAATAAATCGAGTATCCTGATTCCCAAATAAACTGACACTGCTCAGGAAAATCTGTCATTTTATTCTCAAACTATGTACACTTCGGGTGTTTCTCAATGTCGAGTAAAGCTGCTGCAGAGCCACTATTTCAAGCATACTAAGTCATCGAGTGCCGCCGAAGGACTGTTCCAATCTCCAGCATACTTGGAATTCTACAGAGCCCGGTGTACTCCGTTTGGAGACATTTCTAGGCTGCACATGTGTAGACTCCGCGGTCTTAAAATCCCCACAATGCTTTGCGCTGACCAATTTCCCCAAATCTGTAGCGGAAAATGTAAGGCGGGGCCTCTCATATGACGCACACCTGCACACTTGCTCGCCTGTTCCACTCTTTGTTTTCCGAATGCCAGGAAGTATTCTTGCCTCGCTTCTGAAGCAAGACGCTCGGAAGACATGTGCTACCAAGCAAGCGTACTCGACATTGAGAAACACCCCGAATCTCTAAGCAACCTTTACTCAAACATCAGTTAATGGTGTATTTGCTGGAGACTATTTTCGCATGCAGATGAATTTGGTGCTTAAGTTAGAAGGGTGAACATAAATATGAGTGCTATGGTGTTTCACAGCTTCGTCAGACAGAAAGAAAAGCATGTTAGATTTGTTTTGTGCCTTTCACGCGTTCCCTCACGACTGACTGAGTAGTAGCAGCACAGAGCGTTCTGTAAACACAGTGAAGTGAAAGAGGAATAATATGAGAAGGGTTCCCACACCTTCTTAAACATCTACCTCAAGGACTTTTCAGGCGAAATGCCCTCACATTTCAGGAACCAAAGCGTCATTGTTTGATACACGGATCAAGGTTAATTACAGATACAACACTGATCATTTTTATAATGAGAGCTTGCGGGCTTTACAGAAGCTCACTGACAACAATTAAAAAGAGAGAGAGGCTTGAACGTGTGAATACTTCTCAGTTCTGCTGCATTACAGTGAAGGCAGACTAAAACATATACATATATAAATGAATGCACTTTCAATGACCGATGTGCGTTTGCTTGAGGGAATTTTCCCCCCTTCGAAATTGCTAACTATCAAGGACCTGTGGTAAAGATGAAGGTCAGTTATGTTGTATTTATTTTGAAGGCTTTCCCAAACACAAGACATCCAGCACAGTCTCAACTTCTCACTATTTGTTTCTGGATGTCGGTCACTAGCATCTCCTCCTGATGTCGTTAAAGTGGGGGGCTTTTACTGTGTGCCGTCTGGGAAGTCCCTCGACCTCGTCATGGCAAGATTTAACGACTCCATAATTCCCTAACCTGACACAATGACGACCGTAACCGATAAAAAATAATGTGTAGTCCTAACCCGACATTAGTCCACAGGTTTTTTTTTTTTGCATGAGCAGACCTAGACTCAGGACTATGTTGGTGAGAACAGACTGGGCTTGAATAGACTGGGTTATATTTGTTCGATTTCTTTCGCACGATTATCACTAGACAGCGTGAAGCTCGTTAGGTAGCAGCAAAGGTGGGAAAAACCTCAAATGACGGCTATTTTTAGGTCTTTTCCAACACACGTTAGCATTCAGCCTCATGTGAAATGTGTTTATTACTCTCTGTTATTTAGGCGCTGTTGGAACAAGTGATAATTTGTTTAGGTGTCACACAGAGGCCTTGATACATGAAGGTGACGTTTTATGTGCTGAATGAAAAAAAAGCCCACCCACTCTTATCTTACCAAGGTGGTGTTTAAAACCCTAATCATGTTTGGCATCAAAATATACTTTAATTAACTAATTTAAAAGTACTTATCATGCAGAATAGCCCATTACATTATTGTATTATAATTATAAATGCATTCATTTGTCCATCATTTTCAAGTTGCACTTATTATGCTGCTTGGTGGCTTGATCATATTATTATCATGATTTAATTGAATTTAAAATCTGATCTGCAAAGTATCTAGTAAGTAAAGCTGTTAAATGAATGTAGTGGAGTAAAAAGAAAAATGGTTGCTTCCAAATTGTAGTGGAGAAGAAGCATAAAATGGAAATACTGAGGTAAACAAGTAGCGCAAACATTTTACTTAAATTCAGTACTAGAGTAAATGTACTTAGTAGCTTTCCACCACTAAAAATAGCATACTTAACCTGCTACATACTTAATCTGTATGTACAGCATACTGCCAACAAAATTAACTACTATGTATGATCTTTATGACTTATTATAATACTGACGGCCGCAACATTTTAAAAAAGAACCTCTTATATTCCGTTATATCCTCGAAAACAGCGTAGGACATTTCGAGTCATTGGAACTGCCAACATATTTGGTATTTAAATGGTTACCGGAGCCCATGAAAACGTATTATACTTAATAAAAGTAACAATACTATCATACATTTTGACATTCGGTCTCAGCAGCATGCAATGCATTGTGGGGTAGAGTATAGAGTAAGATCACGGCTTAGTAAACAATCGGGGACTTTCTTGAGTACAAATGATCCACATACTATGCAGTGTAAATACATGACATTCAATTTGATGTTATACTTTGTATGAAAAGTGCGCCATTATAATAATTTTTAAAAACAGGCCAAAACTCTGCAGATCTGGTTTGGAGCGCAACATTTCATAGCCTTATTTTCTATGTTTGGCATTTTGACGTCACAGTTGTTCGTTGTCAATTCTTGGTCTGTTCTTTATATAGAATATCAGCACTTATCCTTTAAACCCTCATAATTCACACTACACTCATCAGTCACACACACACACACACACACACACACACACACACACACACACACACACACACACACACACACACACACACACACACACCACACACACACACACCACACACACACACACACACACACACACACACACACACACACACACACACACACACACACACACACACACACACCACACACACACACACACACACACACACCACACACACACACACACACACACACACACACACACCACACACACACACACACACCACACACACACACACACACACACACACACACACACACACACACACACACACACACACACACACACACACACACAGCAACCATCACCCATGAAACACACACACACACACCTTTTCCCATTTCTGGCCGAGCACATTCCCTATCTTTCTCACACGCAGGTCTATTATCACATTTGGTTGGTAATCATCCAATCCGTCTGAGATATGCAAAGCAGCAGTAATTGTGTTAGAGCCTAATTTGTGGCGCGAGGAGGAGAGGGGCCCTCCTAACAATCATTATGCATGCAGAGCACCGCTCCCATCAAGCGCTTCTCTGCTATCCGCTCATCATTTTACACACACACACACACACACACACACACACACACACACACACACACACACACTGACATCTCTAAAATGTCTCTGCGGGACTCGCTCCATGCTAACTATGTCTCTTCCTCTTTTTCGGTGCCCTTTATGCCGCCTCTCCCTTTTTCCCCCAACCCAGATTCTGTTTCTTCTTTTATCCGTGCTCTCCATTATCCCCCTCTCAGTTTTCATCCGTCTGAACGTTTCTTCCTCCCTTTTGTCCTTTACATTTTGCTTCTAGTTTTCCTCAAGTGCTACTGGAGCACACATTCACTGACAGGCGCTTTGTATGTGTGCACGTAACGCATACATAATAATACAACTGGGCTTGGACACTGGACAAATACATCAGAGATGTGGAAGAGACTGAATTCATTGCTGTTGGAGATGTCTTTAAATAAGCTTTATCTTTTGTAATTTGAAAAATGTTGACTCAATGAGGAAAGCAAACACCGATTCAGAAATGTGTTTGAGTTGATTTGAAATGTGTTTCAAGGAAGCATGGAAGGCAGCCTAAACAAACGTAACATTTCACAGACTTCCTCAGGGTGTCGAGCGTTTGTCCCTGAATGAGCTGCACTGTTTGAGTTCTGCTGCTTCCTGCCAGGAATTCAACCGGACGTGATGCTTGCTCAGAATTATTTTAACAGCTCAAAAAGATTTAAGACATAGAAATAGCCCCTTGCATTAACAACAGTTACAAAATCTGACCAGCAGTAGAAGAAAGTAATCAAGCAGGTAGTACTTGTGACAACATTAGGTATTTACTCTTTCTAATCTACTAAAGTTAAGAAGGAAATACTGTACTTTTACTTTACTACAATGGCTGGTTACTTTGAAAATTAATTAACACAGCAATCATTTCGGCCATTAGCACAATATATGATAATTTTAAATGTTCAAGGGGTCCATTATGTCTCATCATGAGCCCCTGTTTGATAGTTCGTTTTGATGATACTGAAAAGTGGAATGCTCTACAAAATGTCGAAAATTGTAAAACAATAGCCAGCCTAATCTCCTACAGTCCAAAACACAATATATATTAAGGGTACGATCACATAAGAGGTAGAAAAGCAGCATAGTGCAATATTTGCAAATGTATGCAGATGACTTTCTTATTAAATAAAATTAACAGTCAAATAATGATCCTATTATTTCAGCTCTTCTGTTTTTAATTATTTAAAAAGCTCTACATAATGATGCCATCACACTTAAAAGTAACTAGTCAAGAGGGCTTCTAGAGTTCAACCTATAGGCGCCCTCATTAGGCATGAATGTTGTGGGAATTGGGAATACTGTACAGTGTGTGCATTACGACTGCTTGTGCATTATTTAGACGCACAATAAAAGTACATACACTACATACATCATAAACAAACCACAGATGGAGATTTATGTTGACAGGCAGGAAACACATTCACGACTAAAGAAGATGGGGAGAAAACAAAAGGAACACAAAGGGGACCCGGCAACAACAATGGCGCTTCATTCAACATATTCCCATTTCAATCCAGATTTCAACCTGACTGCTCTTCACCGGAGTGCCTTTCACACCTGCGCTGCAACCCTGAAACTATATAGACGTTACCCAGAAGATCAGAATGTGAAAACCCAAATATCCTAATTATTTGAACTGGACATTGACCAGACTTTCCTCTGCCAGAGTCCCAGAACAAAATCTGTGAAATGTCAGATTGAGCCCATCTGTGAATTGTCCGGATGAGTCACAATGACTAAGTGTTGTTGATGTTTTTATTGCGGTTGGCTTTGGATAACAAACGCTACTATTACTGTAATAGTGTATTCACAGGTCTCTGTAAAAAATCGGTTAAAAAACTACAACTAATCCAGAACGCCGCTGCCAGAGTCCTGACCAAAACAAAAAGAGTAGCACACATTAGAATTGGTATATTTCATGTTAGGTCTAATAAATAGCGTAATTGTTTGTTTTGAGTATTGCCTTTAGAAGTGCCTTGTGTTTAAATGATAAACTTAGTACACTTGCATGGTGTTTTTATTTTTTGGAAATCATACAAATGAGTGCAAGTAGATACTGATTGGCTTTGAGTCTGTTATTGTCATTTAGGTATAATGAATAACGCAAAATCTATTGAAATGTTACATTAGCCTTTTTAAGTTTATTTATAAATAATTGAGGTTTCACAAGTAGAATTCACTGCAGATTATACAGTTAATTAAGAGTTTAATGGCTCTTTATTTGTATTTCTACCCACATAGATCAATCGATGGCTTGGCAAATGGGTTGTATTTTAGTCGACCAAATGTCTTTGGTTGAGATCACCTCTGATATGATCAATCTCCTGTTGTGTGCTACATGTGTGAAAGGGCAAGCCTAAACCTGATGTGTAGAGTTCAAATAAGAAAACTGGTAAAAGACAAAACGGAGAAACAGAGACAAGAGAACAGAGAGAAAGAGAGAACAGAGAGAAATGTTCTGAATTGAGTGGGACAGAGTGATCAAGAGGGAGCAATTGAATGTGTGAGAGTGTGAGAGAAAGAAAGAGAGGGAAATAGAGACAGAGGTAGGAAGGGAGGAGGAGCAGAGGAGGAAGAGGAGGTGATGATGGTGGGTGGGGGGTGGGGGGAGGGACTGGCTGTGCACAATGGGCCCAGACATGAATGCTCCTCGACATTCATTTCCACACATCCCCTTCAATTTCAACTCTCTAATGGAACTAGAGATTCTCTGCACCCACTTATACTGTGCACCAAGCGCACAGACACACAAATGCACTAACACACACACACACTCGCATTGACACACATACACACACACTCGCATTGACACACACATGCTTATAAACACGTGCCATTAACACAGACACAAATACATAAGCGCTAATAGAAGGGCACCACATCCACACTTAGGCAGTTGCAAACCACACACACAAATGTACAATATCACAAAGACTTTTGGACACACAGATTTGAATCAACACACACACACACACAACCAGACTGTGAATTTCATTCCTTTCAGATAAAGGAAAAGGGTGGGATGAACTGCACACATAAGTCTCAGCCTGTGTGTTTTTGTGTGTGTGCACCACAGCCATCTTGTGCTTCCTTACTCAGTGTGTGTGTGTGTGTGTGTGTGTGTGCATACATGTGAAGGTCTTTAAATCATGGGAGCTGCTACTTCTGCGTGACCATTTGTCAAAGCCTTCTCGGCTCTCCCAATATGGCTGTCAGCGCGCACCGTCAATCATAAAGACGGTGTGTGTGTGTTTGTGTGTGTGGAGAGGCAGCGCCAGACGAGGTCACCGATAAGGGCTAGCCCTTTAGAGGCCCATCGCTCTCTCCCTCCTACAGGCTGAGCATAAATTACTCCCCCGGCTTCAGCCACACAAACTGTTGTACGGATATCGCCTTCTCACCCCTCTGCTGCCTTTTCATTCCTTTTCAAAATGGCCAACTGATTCTAGCTGCACCGTCTTTCAGGAAGGATCTCTTAAGATATTAGCTGGAAGTTTTATTTCATGGCCATTTTTATAAAACAAAACATGTACACTTTAAGCTGTTTTTTTTTGTAGTACATGATGGAAAGGAGCAGGGAGAAGAAAGTGTTATTTTACCCCTTGCTTATAACCAATACTCACAGTGACACAAAATCAAAAACACAACAATCTACCATCAGTGCTAGCTGACATCCCAATACTGTCTAATTATTCTTTCCTTATACATTTTCTTAAATCTAAGATGTTCATACAGCTCTTTGAATCATTTGGTAAAGAATTTCACCGTTACCACTATGCACTTTGCCAAATCAATTTCCAAAAGTGTAAATGATTCCCTCATTCCCTAACTTGGATGATAAAATTCACTTCTTCTTACACACTTCATCACTGATTTGGCAACAGCAGGGAAAGCTAACCCCCTCGGTGCGTGCATTTCTACACACAGCCTCAGGTGGCATCATTCAAACGTCTCCGAACACTCCCAAAGTGAAGGGAGATTATCTCTGTAATTCACACCTGCCAATCAGTGAGCTGCAGGTGTACATGGGGGTTGGGGGTGGGGGGGGCGGTAGTTGGGAACGCACAGCTGTGTCTGCATCAACAGAATAACAACATGAGGTGTTATTTTGGACGCTCAAGGTTCTGTAAAATAAAATACTTTTTCTCTGCATAGCTGATGTTAGGGGAAGGGAAGCTGGAACACTGCCAAGGTTTTGATGGCCATGAAAGTCTATGAACATCTGCAATGAGGGACTGCGATGAAGGATTGGTAGTCCTTGACACTTTGTACACTCATCGTCAAGATTCAAAATGATGCCGTCTGAATTACCTGGGATGAAATAAGAAACAAAAAACTCACTTCTGTATTAGTTTAATTCGACAAATCTGGTGGATTCTTTGGTTCCAAGTTGTGAAATTGCAGTTAATCTTATGCATTGTTCATGATGGTTTTTCCAAAGCACTTCAAAGGGAATGTGCCCTAACACACAGCTGGTTTTAGAGGTGTTTTCCTACTCACTGTCGCACCATTTTATTCCATCGCATGGTACGCCACTATTGTCCACCACGCATGGACTCGCATCAGGTTTGTATTTTATGTGATGGGAACAGAAGATGTTTTAATAAAATTATTCAATCTAAACTCACCTGTTTGTGCATCTCAATATTGAGCCCGTAGGACATCTCGTAATACTGGGAAGAAAAAGAGAGAAGAACAAAACGTTACAACATAAGCATCAAATAACTGTCACAGACCATCTTCTTAAACTAAATTAGGCAACGATTGCTGTGAGGGACCAATCGTGTGCTGTGCAGCTGATGTATGTTTTAGTGATATACAGTATGACTATATATAAATGACAATGTGAAGTGTGAGTAGTGCTTCCTGGTAACTATAACTGTACAAATGTGTCACAATTTGAAATATCTTTTTAGATTGAAATCAAAGTGATAAAAATGATTCATCACATTGGACACACACAAAGAGAAGAGAAGACACACGGTGACAAATAGGAAAGGGAACAGAGAGAGAAAGAGCCTCTGTCGTGTGTGTGAGTGTGTGTGTGTGTGTGAGTGTATATGTGAGTGAGTTCAGTGTTAATGAGAGGGCCACCCTCTAGGCGTCAACCCTGTTAATCACCCACTCTGTCTGCAGGGGGGGGCTGGCTCTGTCACTGGAAAACAAACAACACACAGATCTCTCACACATAAATGTGCACGTACATACAAACACACATTTCTGTGAATCGCTTGCTCTGACACACACGCACATGCATAGACACACTAAACACACACACACACTTTTTCTCTGTAGCTGCTTGCGCCCACGCGGAAGCTCCCTAAAGTAATTACAGCGCTGGGGAAATGGAGGTGCTGCCGCTGGCCGGGGGAGTGGGGCAACCTGATATGCTATTAGAGAAGGAGTGGGGGAGGGGGGGTGCTCGTTGTGGGGATACAAGGCTGGGCTTGCCACTGATGGAGTGGAAGTGCGATTGAAAGTGTGTGTGTGTGTGTGTGCATGGTGTGTCAGTGGAGGAGGAGGAGGGATGAGCTGTATTGCGTTCATAGCTCAAATTTATCGCAACATTTTGAGCTGAATGTGAAGACGGTTTTGACTAAAGAAAATCCCTTTGTATTTCACATAATTATTTTTATAAAGTTTTATGTAATATCTTTGATTACCCAAAATGAATTGAGCGTCCGTGCAAATTTAGGTTACAACTAGAGTTAAGCCAGGTTTATACTGCCGCCTCACACAAGCATCACATTCCCAATGAGGAACGTTACTTTAACAAAAAAACAAACAAGTTTAACAAATATGGGGTACAACGCCGAATCGTACAAAGTGTTTCATTGGTTTGCATTTCCTCCACTCTTTCACTGGGTGAAAACCTAACAGGTGACATCAGATTTGTGGTTGTGGTAACCATGGCTGCAGGCAGTTGCGTTTATAAGAAGGCGACAAACATTGTCTTCTATTTTAAGAATGGTGTGGCTTTGAATCCTATATGCTTTTACACATGTACTTAAGACAGATGACAAAAGTGTGTTATGCTAAATGAATAATCGTAGTTTTAAGCTTAAGAACAGACTTTTTATTTTTGTTCCTGTTAAGGTGGATAATAGATCAGAGTGCATTGAACTGAGGCGCACTACTACTGGAATCCTACACGGAACAGAAACAACACAGAGCTGAACTTCCCCTTAACACTTTCAATGACTGTGTATTTTTACTGCTGTGTCTGGTTTCTCTTCGTGTTTTGATTTGGCACCCATTAGGCCAAAGAGTAAACTAGAAGCAAAGCAGTGTGTTTAAAAGCAAGAAGACATGCACTATGGAAAGCCTCCAAAAATATCCCCAGCTGCAAGCCTTGCACTTTAGTGAACTACAAACTGATCATTACAAATACCAAACCATGATGGAAACTCTTCATTTTCCTTTCCGTAGCGATAGCATCAGCCTGCAGGCTGGCACACATCCTGCCGGACATTAATGCTACCATCAAAGAAATCATGTCAACTGGAGGAAGGCGGCTTTCTGCAAACCAACTAAACGCTAAATTCAACCAGCACTTTAATCTCGATAAAAATAAACTAAATGTAGAATATCTAAACTAAAAAACGTGTCATGATTTTTTTTTATCATATCTGATGTTTTCCTGTCTTTTTCCTGACATGTCTGTGCTGCTGCTATCGGGCCGGCATTGAGTGTAGTGTGTTTGTGAGGTTTTTTTAGCACTCACACCTACCTCAAACTCAGAGAGGAAGTGTGTATGCGATTGTGTGCATGTGTGTGCGCCTGCTGATGGTGGAGAGAGCAGTGCGGCGGCACAGATTAGATGAGATTAAAGCCAGTCAGAGGATCAATTAGAGGCAAAACATCAGACGGCAACACAGCCACGGCCAGCGACAATGAGATTAGCCCTGAGGTGGAGCAGAGAGCAGCGAGCAAACATGTCTGTGTGTGAGTGTGTGAGAGTGTGTGAGTGAAGAGAGGAAATGATGGTAGTTGGAGAGAGAAAGCACACATGCAGTTTTCCCGAAACAAAGGGAGAGAATAATAAAATACAATTCCAATTCATTGCAACTATGGTTTTATTTTTGTAGCTTTGGCTAACATTGGTTATAATAAAATGGTCCTTTTCAAGCTAACCATTGAGATCTGAGGGACACAACTTTGCATGTATCACATCTTGTTATGGAAGGGAATTGGTTCTCAGTAAATTCCACAGTTCATTTTCATCATTCAGAGAAAGGCAGAAGACGGTCACATGCTTCCAAATTATTATGAACCGTTTCAAACAAAAGAGCAAAAGACTCTCCCACAGTTTTCTCTTTCTCTCTGTCTGTTCGGTCATAAAGGGACAAGGACAGATAGTTCGGCTTTTTCCCCAGAATACAATTCAGTGAATGGTTTGGCACACACTGAACTGAAGTGAGAGTGGTTCCTTTTTTGTATTAATTTAATCAATCTTGGTTTTTTTGACAGCAAGAATGATCATTGAACTTGACTGATCTCAGCAACTTTGACTAAGCCATGAAATAAGTTATAATTCACCAGAATTATATTTAATACAGAGGTATTTTATATTGAGAAAGGAAAAGAGAGGTGGTGGATTTGGGGGAGAAGAGTATTAATTAACAAAGAGAGGGAAAACTACAGCTGGGGAATATATCAATCAGATATCAATATTGTGATATGATACCAGATTGTGTAGTAACATTGCATAAGTGTCCTCTTTTCCTGGTTTTAAAGGTTTCAACACATTAAAGTGATATCATTTCCATTTATTTGTATTCAGTCATTTTAATCCATGTTACTGATGATTATGAAAGTTAGTGAACGCACCAATAGCTCACAGCAAAATATGTTTGCGTATCATGGTATTTGGTCATATATTACGCAAATATAATATATTTGCGTAATATAAAGTAATCTTTACTGATACCTAAAAGAAACCATAGTAAAGATTTTCTTTGTATATAAACACCAACATGTAAGAATCAAATAGCACATTGCTCAAACACACTGGCAAAATGACACAAACCATCATGTCTGGTACACACACCCACACAGAGCTTCACTCACCATGATATAATGGCGCTGCATCTCTGACTTCTCGCTGGCCAACTTGTCACACTCGAGCTTCAAACTGCAGAGAGAGGAAGAGGAGAGTCAGAGCTTGTTATTCAGCTTGACAGTCTTTCACTGTAAAGTGCTGACGCCAGGTGACTTCCACCCCCTTCATCATTATCACCAGCAGCTCTGTCATGCCTTTCATCATCACTTCTTCGACCCTCATCACCGGCACCACCTCCATTGTCATCATCTCAGCTGTCTTCACAGCCTCCATCATCATCATTACCGCCGTCATCATCATCCTCACCTTCACTAGTCACAGTGGCAGCGTTTCCACAGAGCTTGACAGGGTGTCGTTTGACATGAGGAGGTCAAACCCAACTCCAGAGATGGTGTCTAGCCAAAATGTCTGCTTTCTAAATCAAAGAAGATGCACTGAAGTAAAAAAAAAAGTCTAAATATAGTGTTGGGAGCATTTCTTGCGACCCAGTCCCAGTGACAGCCATTAGCTGTAATCATGTCAGCGCTGATGTCACGCGAGGCGACAGGACAAAGGAGGACGCGTCAACAAGTCACCCTGATCGTCTAATGAAAAAGACAGAGGGGGAGACAAATTCCTCTCGCTGGCTTTTGACTGAAGCAGCCAGTTACAGCGTGCCAGTCTCAGAAGGCATCATGCGATGTGAGGACAGGATAAGACTCAGATCAAATAAAGATATGCGCAGGCACACGGTGGATAGCTTCAGATTTCGGATAAGTCTGAAACCTGTTTGATGGTGTGTGTATATTTATGCTGGGATGTTCTTCTCAGCTGTCTGCAGGAATGACAGCTCGATTAGAGTGAGCGCTGGCTGGTTCTTCATCGCTGTTAGTCTTAACTGGCAGGCTGAACACAGTGTAACACAGGGCTGATAATGTGGGCTCACGCACACACGCTGTATTGTGCTTCTTCTATAATTATCACAGCAGCTGCAGTGTTCGCTGGAGTTAACTGCAGTTTTTCGGGACCACGCTTGTTTATTGATTCATATTATAACAGTGATAATATATGATTATCCTATTTAGTATTTGAAAGAGTTCATGCTCGTGCTTATGCTTTAAAAATACACAAGTATTTATTTTAAATTTTCCAGTGCATGCTGAATTAATAATCTATTATCCATCTCCACAGAGGGACTGGAGTCTATTCAACATGTATTGGGGACATGTTGTTGGCAAAAACACATTCATGGCACACAATGTATCAGAGAAGCTAGAAATCCCTCTAAAGTCCAATCAGAAAAGACTGAAGTTAATTTTAAACTCAGGACCTACTTTCTGCATGTTAAAGGGCCACCATGCCACCCAGTTTAGAATCTATTGCGTGAAATATTTATTCTAAAAAAGAGCACAGACATCTTGTAATGACCCAGAATCGTTCTGCTCTTATTGTGCTACTGAAAAACTCACTATTCAGTACACTACTCAATACACAGAACCTCTTTCATAATATAAAAGTTAACGGCCTAATATCAGCATCCTGATGCTCATTCACTGTGATCAATTACCTTCGCATAAGTCTCAGAAGTATTATTACTTCTGGAGTCGAATGAGGACAAGCAAAGGCCTTGTGTGATGTTATCATTATTTCAAATTAGCTTTAATTGCGGCGCATTAAAAGTAAAAAAAGCTTTGAACAATTTAAAACTAGGGAGGTAATTATTCAGCCTAACAGTGGTGATGGTATTGTTTGAGGGCTAACTACTTTTTAAATAGTAACTTACATTTCAAAATGCAGATATGGATCAGCTTTTAAAGGTCACCTATTATGCAAAATCCACTTCTTCATGTCTCTTCTACATCAACATGTGTCCCCTCTGTGTAAAGAGATTATGAAAGTTTCAGGAAAAAAGATTCTCTTTCTTTTTGTCCTGATCCATTTATATAAAAACCTGTCTGAAAACGAGTTGATCAAATTTTGGCCACTTTATGATGTCATAACGATGTTTTGGCTTGTTTAACCATTAGCCAATCACCAACCAAGGTATGTGTTGTATGTGAACACAGTCAGACACTTCACAAGATATCTGTGGCTTATGCCATGGCACGCAACAGATATCCAACCTGAGCAACAGTCATGTGTTGGGGGGGTGGGCGGTGCTTCTTTGTTGGGCAGCTTTATTCTACCACCTATTCTTTCGTGTGTGTGAGCAGCCTCCACTTATCCAAAACGCTCCCCTTCCCTCCTACATAAAACCCTTCCTGCTTTCCCTGTGTACATGCGTAGGCTGTGTGGTGGGTTGTCATGACGACTGGCCTCCCCGCTGCCAGCCTACCTGGGATTGGCTCTGTGCCTCCTCTGATTGGTGCTCAGCAGCCCCCGGGCCTGCACCGCTGCTCTCAAACGACACTTTGATGGAGTTTTATTGCAGATTCTTCCATCTCTAAATCGCGCCTGCTGTCATCTTTATTTTGATTTATGTATTCCCTGATCTATTTATGCATGTGAACGAGGGGAGGGGATAGGGGATGGGAGAGGAGGCGGGGGTGGGGGTGGGGGGGTGGGAAGAGGAAGACAGCGACAGCTACAATGCTCGCTACTATCCCCGGGGGAACGCCTGCGGTACATTTGCCGTTTAAAGGCTTCGGCAACAGACAAGCGCGGCGCAGCAGCAAAGTGCTACAAAGCCTTGTCTGTGGCTCCCGAGCCCCCCCCCCGCCTCATCTCAGCCCCCCGACTGAGTCAATAGACACTGTATGCATGTTCTGTATGCTCAAACAAAAAAGGTTTTCTTTCAACTGCGCCCTGGCTCTCTGAAGAGGGTTAAACGGTGCTGCTCACCGTTGTGGGAATTACAGAAACCAAAAGGCGAGGGAAAAGACGCGCCGGGTGTTATTGCCGCTTCAGAATCCTCCGCAAACAACAGCGAACAGACCAGAGCGGGGATTTTGCTCACAATTTACCAGGCTTTCATCTGCCTTCATCTGTGTCTGTAAGCGGCGGAGGAAAGCCTCTGGAAGGTTCTGGGAGAACAGGTACAGAGGAACAAACCAACCTCCTCAGGAAGGAAGACGGGCTTCAAAGACTCCGCTCTCACAAAGAGAGGATCTCTCCGAGAGATACAGACCCCGTGGCGTCCCCCCTCTTTATAGCTGCTATCAAACAGATCAGTTGAGGTCGACCCGGGCACTTTTGGAAGTGCCTCAGACTTCTGGTACTGCAGCGGTATTTAGGCAGTAAAGGCAGATCAATGGCCGGGGGTAAACGAGATTGATTTAGGTATGAATCAATAAAAGGACGTTGCTTCAGTGAGCAGTGTGGTGGTAGAGTTGAGGAAAAGAGCAACAAAGGCAGACGTCTTCATTTTTATCACAGTTGACAAGTGCATCTCTAAAGCCTACGCTACGCTTTTCTGCAAAGATTTATTTAAAGAGTTATTTCCAAATAATTTCAAAAACGGTTTTAATTCTTCAAAGCATTGAAACAATTATTCTGCTATGATTTATATCTGGGATTTCCATTACTTTTAGTCAAATGTAATTTAAAAAGTGCTTAAAGCAGAGATTATGATTACATTGGTGACTAGCATGGATGTTTAGCTAGCCCTCTGTAATGAAGCAGAGGATTGTGGGAAAAAAACGTTCTTTTGAACTGCACAGATTTAGGTCGGTAAAGTCAGGATCAGTATATATATATATATATATATATCTACTGTATAGTGACCAACAGTAACAGTAGCTAAGCATTCAAAAGGAATGTATTAACTGGAAGAGTACCAACTGAACACTGTCTTTATGGCACCTATAATTAGTTTCAAATTCTACATTTCATTCCAGGGAACGTCTTTGGAAAGACCTGTAACATTGTGTGAAATTAAGAGTTGAAAAAGGCCATACGTTCATATTAAAACCCATTTATGGCAGGCAATTTTGCAGCTTAATTCTGCACTTTAACATTTGCTTCTGTTACAAAACTGAGTTAGAAAAAGGCACACACAGTGATACATGTGTTGCCTGCAGAAAGACTCCTTATTACAATGAGCTGAAGTCATCAGGTTGTGGTATGTCACCGCTTCCTCTTTGTATTCGTGTGTGTTTGCATGTCTGTGTGCAGGGAAGTGTTTCTGACCGCACCTGTGGTATTGTGCTTGGAGGAACTGGAACTCATCCTTGATCCTGTCACAGGAGTCGGAGGTTGTGAATTTCAGCTGCTGCGATGAAGCCTGCCAAAGAGAAAAACACAAACATTCAGTGAAATTAAAAAAGATGAGAGCAGAGTGAGAGAAATAATTAAAAACTTGCACATTAAATCAAGCCGTTTTCAATTTGATGCAGTCCAATGGGTACAGCATTAATAAGAAATTGGTTGCCACGTATGTTTCCACACATAAGGGGCAAAATGCATAAAACCTTGTCTACTCGAGACTACAACTGAGCGTAGAAAAAGCAGAAACACGCATTCCTATCGTTTCTGACATCTTTTTTTAACCCCATGCATGCATGCACTATTCTGTTATATATCTCCATCACTGTGAAACGACAGTCTAACCCACACTCAAGACAAAATTTGCCATAAATGGATGTTGACACTCCCCCTATTTAACTTTCTAAAGACATAACCCAGACTCTTTCTGTCCTTGGTCTGGCTCCGGCTGTACAGTGAAAAAGACATTAAGAGTTATTACCCCCGGCCATTATGAACAAAAGCATATGTTGTGACCCATGAGCGAGTCAAAGTTATTATCAAATGTCTGATATTATTTCAAAATTCCTTGATGGTACTCCAACAAATTGTGACAGTATATAAACCTGCTTGCTTATCCACTTTTGTATTTAATAAAGAAAACAGTTTGGACATTAACTAATTGAAAATAATTGGTAATGATTGCCACGATGTCCAATGTTTTCCTGTGTAACCTAGCACAAGTCTAGTGAGGGTTACACGTTCATATCATTTGGCAAGCCTTATGTTCACCAAAAAAGGCAAAACTGTGCACCAAATCGCCCGTATGTCACGTGGAAGACTTTGTTTGGGCCTCACACAGCAAGCTACATCAGCGCTCTTTCACATAGCCGGGATGTTGCCATTAGCCCTTATTGTAATTCCGTCCACACTACATTCCCCAGGCAGCAGTGATGGCCTGGCTGTGTGTGAGAGCACAGAAAGCATCAAACCCAAATAGGGACAAAATCTCATTATTTCTCAGCAGGCTGCATAATGGGTCAGGTGGGGAAAGAAAGAAAGAAAAAAAAAAAATCGACATTTCCCCACTACGATTGAGCAGGCATCAGAAAAAAAAAACATCAGAAATCTGATTGCCGCACTTACGGGAAGCTAGCCCGCCGCTGTTAGGAGTGACCCGTCGCTTTGTACCCTGCTCCCCACGGCATGCCGCTCAGCTTCATTTTTAACTACAAATAGGCTGCTTCGCATTCACAGAACCATGGCCAGAGAATATGCTAAGCAACAGGATTGCTTCAGGTTGTGCTGAGCTTCAAAGGCTGAATATGTTTTTGCTTGGTGGCTCAGCAGGCAGCGACTGGCTCTAACATGGTTAAGGGTTGGGGGGTGAATTCTTATTAAAGCCTCCCAGGGTAAACATACATACTCATGTTATTTTATTGGTTATAAAAAAACTAAACTCCAGTCCTGCCAAACGGGGAATGTGACCTCAGCCATTACACACACTGTCAAATGTCATGATAGGGGCTGACATTATATTTCTGCCCCCACACACATAAAAAAGAACCCCAAATCACACAAGCCATCCGCTGCTTGGAGACAGAGGCGCCGACTGTAAAGCAGAATAACCTTTTTTTTTTTTTAATTATCTTTCTGGCCGGTATTGGCATAGAGCAGCAAACAACAGCTTGGGTCTATGCCACACTGAGCCTGTGTCAACACAAAGCACTTAGCTACAGGCAGCCATGAAACTCACACTGCAATAACTGTTCCCTGCACTGGTATGGATCCTGAACAGTGTGTGTGTGTGTGTGTGTGTGTGTGTGTGTGTGTGTGTGTGCTGAACGATTAATCGATTTTAAATCGAAATCGCGATTTGAAATGATGCGATTATCAAATCGCAAAGCCTGCGATTTTTTTTAACATTTTATTTTTTTACTTCTTGTGTGTCAGTCATCCACACCAATCAGAAGTGCTGTGCTCCACATGTACCAGCCATCGTTAACCAATCAGAAGTGGCCCATGATAAAAGGTGATAGATTGATCCAATCACATTAAATTACATTACATTTAATTTAGCTGACGCTTTTATCCAAAGCGACTTACAATTACCAATCACCTGCCAAGTATTTGAAAGTGCCTGCCTTTTCCAAATGGCTTCCAATGGAGCGTTCCTAGATGGTTTGGTGAAACAAACCATCTGAGTCAGGTTAGTGATGCTCCATCACATGTTCTACATCTATTACAGGGTGAGTCTCAAACTGAAGCTTGACTTTAAAGCAACCCAACGGACGTTTCATGTAAGTTTAGTTCTTTCACTCGTAGCTCGGGCTGCGGGGGTGCTAGAGACGGGAGCACGTTGATACGACCTTCCTAGCCGGAGATATGGCCGCATTTTACAATAAACTTCCGTTGGGTCGCTTAAAAACAAATATCGCAAATCGAATCGCAATCGCAATATTTGTCAGAAAAATCGCAATTAGATTTTTATCCCAAAATCGTGCAGCCCTAGTGTGTGTGTGTGTTAGGGCTGCTCAATTAATCGTATTGTAATCGCAATTACGATTTTGGCTGTGTGTGTGTGTGTGTGTGTGTGTGTGTGTGTGTGTGTGTGTGTGTGTGTGTGTAGGTTGCCCCGGTGCCTGAGGGTAGCGTTTTTGCCCTAGATCCAATTTCCTCCATGTGTAGTGCAGTATGCAAACGTTTAAAATACCAAAGTTTGTCAGTCAACATCCCGGGGTAGAGGATCGCACCCCCCGGGGAAAACAGAGACACAGAAGAAGAAGAAGAGGAACAGAAGATGTGTAGACAAAAGTGGTTAACCTACAAATATTGCCATCAATATAGTTCTTTTTCGGATCAAATATCAGTGAGAAGAATGATTAAACAAAATGAGGTGAAGGTTTTGTTTTCTGGGGTTTTTATCACCAATATCAGGACTGTGTGAACTCCGGAACAACATCTCTCTGTTATAGTTTGTTATCTTTTATAGGCATAATATAGTTGGTAGCAGGCTGTTCTATTATGGAGAGGAGTTCTATAAACCACAACATTAAACATGGTCCCAGAATACGTTTTACAACCAGGCCATCACCTTTTGTTTATGTAAGCGAGGAGAGAGTGGTTATAACGTTGGAGATATGACAGACCTGTGTATGTCAAACATTTCATTATATAATGAAATGGTTTCAGGACATGTTTTAATGTTGGTGTAATGGTTGCAACCAGACAGAAATATGTTGCAGTGGTCTGCATCTGGGTGCCTGGGGGAACAAGATAACCGTCACACTTCACCTTCTACTGGAAATGTTTCACAGATTTCCAACATAGATCAGAACTCTACAGCGAAAGGATGTTTTTGCTAACCCTATATTTGGCTAAAGGCTGGCAATCATTTAAAAAAGATGGCTGGAGGTGATGTTGGTGCACACGCTAGCTCACAACCCTGCTAACAGGAAGTGAAGCAAGACAATTTAAAGGAGTCGTTTATAAAACCAAAACATCAAACAGAACTCTTGTACCAAGTTCACATATAATTAATGATATTGGAGGGTTTGATCATGTTTGCATCATAAGTCTCAGTGTCATTGAGGATCTGTACCGAACAAATACGTTTAGCTAAGTCTGTAAGATATATTAATAGGCCGGGTTAGCTCACGATTCAATAATACTTAATTTCAAATTGTATTCATAACATTTTTTAGCCTTTAACGAATATTTTGCTTACTGCAATTTTTGTATATTTAATATAATTTCGATAGATTATGAGTAATGCGCAGCCCTTTGTCGCTCAAACAACTGCTAACAAAAGTATATTCAAGATTCAAAGATTTTTTTGCCTTTATTGTCATGAGCTCAACAGTTGGAGCGTAGTTGTTGGAAAATAAATCTTAAGTCCCAGGCCGCCTAAAGTGCTAAGTAACAACAGTCTAATTAACTTGTTTTGCTAATGATGTAATCTAAGTACAGTATAACATTCTCAATCAAGGTTATCACAAAGCAGCCTAAATCCTGGATCAAACGTCCAGCAGGGTTTAGAAGGACGTTTCTCACAGTGCTAACCAGAAACCTCTCCACTACACAACCGCACTATGTAAGCTCTCCTGGCTTTGTGCAATATACACAGCTAACAATGTTTATTATCCCTCTCTCTGTCAGTGACCAAAACAAGGTGCTCTATGGGGGCCTGAGAGCCCACAACAGATGGATGCCCATAATGTTAATGAAATACTGCCGTAATATTGTGACACATGCCATCTGCTGTGACAAAAAAAGGTGCCTCCATGCTGTGTGTGAAAATGTGTTTGTGCAAAAGAGAGGCTAGGCTAATGTGTGTGTGTGTGTGTGTGTACACTTTTGTTTGTTACAGCAGAGTAGCCTAAACAATGTGAATGTGGCGGAGAAGGATATGTGTGTTAGAGCAAAACAGAGAGCGTAGAATAGGTGTGTGTGTGTGTATGTGCGTTGTGTGCGTTGTGTGTGTGCACGCAACTGTGCGGGGTGTGATAAGCCTCTGTATGATGCTTGGCTGCCAGAGGAACAAATATTCACTGCTATGAATCATACACAAGGATACAACAGCCCACACACACTCTGCCTAGCATACAACATTTGCATAGCACGCATACACACACACACACACACACCCTAAATGTAGGACAATCTCTAATTTGATTCTACCCTGCTCCTTTGAGACGTAATTAAAGCATTAAAAAGCTTTGTGCGCTGGTGAGGCAATTGAGACAGTCTTCAGCGAATAAATGGGATTCATCGTTTCAGGAAATTGCTGCCCCACCCCCTATCCCCCACCCAAAGCCCCCTCATCATCACCCACCCCCCCCCCCTACCCCTACCCCTCCTGGCCTCATCATCTGGTCCAATCCATGTGAAATCTACTGTGAAACATAATGTCTATTTTAAATAAGAATCAAGCTAAGGCTTTTTCTGCTCCACAGATCAGTCGACAAAGGCGATGGGAAGGGTAAGAGATTACGGGGGGGGCTTGGATTTACACACAACACTACAGTGATTAGATACACC